GCAACTGGATGTTAAAACTGCATTCTTACATGGGGAGTTGGAAGAAGACATTTATATGAACCAACTTGAAGGTTTGTTATTCCTGGAAAAGGAAACCTTGTTTGCAAGTTAAAGAAATCTTTTTATGGTTTGAAGCAATCTCCTAGGCAATGGTACAAGAGGTTTGACTCTTTTATGCTCTCTCATGGTTTTAAGCGGTCTGATTATGATAGCTGTGTTTATTTAAAGACTGTTAATGGCTCAGCTATTTATTTGCTTCTTTATGTTGGTGATATGTTGATTGCTGCTAAAGAAAAATCAGAAATAGCTAAATTAAAGGCACAATTGAGTAAAGAATTTGAGATGAAGGACCTAGGTGCAGCGAAGAAAATTCTTGGTATGGAAATTGTTAGAGATAGAAAATCTAGCAAATTATACCTCAGTCAGCGAGGTTATATTGAAAAGGTTATTCGTCATTTCAATATGCATAATGCAAAACCAGTGAGGACTCCATTAGCTGCACATTTCAGATTATCCCCAACTTTATGTCCATAGTCAGATGATGATGTTGAGTACATGTCTAGAGTTCCATATTCCAGTGCAGTTGGTTCTCTTATGTATGCCAAGGTTTATTCTCATCCTGATTTATCTCATACATTGAGTATTGTCAGTAGATTCATGGCTAATAATGGTAAGGAGCATTGGAGGGCCGTTCAATGGATTTTTAGATATTTGCGAGGTACTTCTAATGCCTGTTTGCAAATTGGGAAATCTAGAGATGGACTTGTTGGCTATGTTGATTCTGATTATGCTGGTGATTTGGATAAGAGGAGGTCTCTCACGGGTTCTGTTTTCACAATTGGTGGTTGTGCTGTTAGCTGGAAAGCAAGTTTGTGTAACACCTCTGGTGTTTTGACCTAATACTAAAATTTGACATGTCATCATGTGCATTGCAAAGCATTCATATAGTATAAAGTTTTGAATGCATTCACTAAATAAGGTTTATTTCATAATGTTGTTATTTCATGTGATGTGATTGAAAATCCTAAATAAAGATCATGACTACAAGGGTCAAAATTCATGTGATCATGTGAGGTCATGTGTCTTTTGACTCAAATAACCCTAATGGGCCATGTTACTGGTCAAAAATCAAAATTTAAGTAAAGGAAGACAAATCAAATTTGAATTCAAATTCAAATTATAAAAGTCCTTTTTGCCCCTTTTGACTAATTCAAAATCCATGTGGAATTTGGGGTTGAGGCAAAAAGCAAAGTTGGAGATTATTTTATGTAGATCAACTTTGGTATTCAAAGTTTTTCAAGTTTACATATAAAATTTGGAGTAATTTTGAAATGATTCAAATGCTCAAATGCACCCCAAATTCAAATTTCAAAATGGAGGCAGAATTTGAAAATATTTCTAGAAGCAAAGTTGTAGAGTTTGAAAAATTGAACAACTTTCATTTTTGGAGATTTTCAACTTCTTTAGAAAATTTGTGAGTAATTTGAAAAATGGACGCAGTGGCAGTTCTGTAATTATTTCAAAAAATCAACATCCACCTCTCTGCTTGCCGTCGGCGCCACGCGGATGTCGCCGCCGATCGGATTTCGCCGCTTTCACGCGCAGTGACACGCCAATACCTCCGTGGCGAGTTCGCCCGTGTGCTGTCAACACCGCACGCCCTCCTTCTTGTTATAAATAGGAGTACGCCGTCGTCATTCTCGTTTTTCCCCTTCTGCTCTGCTCCGCCACCAGCTTGCTCCGTCGCTCGCCATAGCCTCCGTCGAGCAGCATCCGTCGTGCCCATCTACGCCTACGCGATCGCCTTGGCCCTGCGCTTCTCTGCGGCTTGCCTACGCCGCTTGGGTTGGCCGGAGTCGCCCGGCGCAACGCTTTCTTCCCCGAGACCGGCCGGAGCTCCGCCACCATCGCCTCGACGTGGCCAGGCCATTCCAGACCATCTCTGTCTTCACCAAGCCCACTGACGTGACCGTGGTGAGCCACTGAACGTGATGTTCACTTTGCTTTTGACTCTACCGCTGTCTTGCTGGGGTTACGCCGTGAGCCGACGTGCTCGAGCCGCCATGGCCGGCGTGGAGTCTTCTCCGGTGTACCTTCTGCCATTCCAAGAGCGGGGATGGGTTCGTAGGAGTGTGTAGGTCATTTAGGTGAGGTCTGCCTCGCCGGAGCATCACCGTCGGCGCATTTTGGGGCCGGCCAGTGAGGGCAGCGCTGCCGTGATCAGTGTGGGTCGCTGACGAGTGGGGTCGGTCTGTCAGTGTGAGTGAGGAAGAAGAACAGTGCAATTTTGTATTTTCTGAAATTGTGAATAGTGCTGAAACTTTGGGAATTTGTAGGAAATTCATCCTAGCTCCAAAAATTCTGAAATTTTGTGTGTAGCTTCTGTACATGCTCTAGTATGGTTCAAAAATTTTAAAATTGAAATTTGAATATATTTTTAATGTTCAAATATTCAGTCCATTAATTGATAAATGCAATTTCCATGATTTTTGTAGGTCACTGTATAATTCCAAAAATTATGAAATTTGTTTTGGTACACTAATTTGTCATAAGGAAGCTTACATAAAATTTTCAGGTGATTTGGAACAAGTTCATTTTTGGGCTTAATTCCAAATTAATTCAAAAATAAATAAAGGCAAACCCTAAGTGTTTGATTAGTGTTGGATCTTGTTTTGGTCATGTTTTGTGACTAGTAGGGTTTCAAGATCCATTTGGTCAAGTCACATGTGTGGTTCTTAATGGTAGGATTGCAAGTTGGTTTTGTTGGCTTGCAACTGTACCGTGAAATAAAATCATTTGCGGGGTGTTTTTACATTTCATGTACCATGAAAGCATCATGTTTACATTATCATCATGTTAAAGCATATGTTATCGTTTCATGTAGAACCCGAGAGTGAAACGATTCTAGTTGAACAAGTTCCGGAAGAATCCCCGGTTGTCATGGGATTCGATAATCGTGGTACTGATCCGGAACCTGAGATTGTCAATGAAGGCAAGCCCTGGTTTATGCATTAAGCCATTACCTTGTTACTTTGAAAAGTTTATCACCTATGTTACTTATTGCATTAAGTTGATCAATTCAAATATTACCTACTTGATGCATTGCCTACCTTGTTACTTGTTTACCATCCTTGAAGATGTTTTTATTTACAAAGGCGTAGAATGCTTAGTATGCTTTATGATAGGCTTTCAAAGTAAAAGTTTTGATACAATCAAAGGTGGCATACTGGCCAAAGAAAGAAAGAAGGTAGAATGAACTAGAGACTAGTCGGGTGACTTATCTTGAATGTTGGGTAATGTTGCCGACTATGTCTCTTAAAGGCCACTCATTGTGGATCTTCTGAACGAGACACTTTGTAGTACTGGTCACATACTCCGGTAAGCCTACTTCGGCTAACCCGATACTAAGACAAATGCCCACGCACTGGGAGTGGAGAGATGGTGGGAGTAGCGTGTACCCTCGTGGCTGGAATGTGGCCGGATTTGAGGTGTGCTGTGCTCTCGGGTGGCGTGGAGACGTTTAGTATAGGAGGATCCGGTAGCGAGGATGATATATGCAAGATTAAGTTCTACATATGTCGTGTGATAAGGAATCCCCAGCTGGGACTTGAATCAATTCGAATTGCCGGTGCTCCGCGGATATGGAGACTCGATTCATTACAGAAGCAATGCAGGACTGGTGAATTACTAAAATATGAGAAAAAGAATGGAATGAGAAGGAATGGAATATGGGAAATGTATATTTAGTTGAGATAATGAACTAAAAGGACTTAGGGGTAAAATTTGAGAATAGGATAAATATAGTAAGCTTTTGGCAAAGGACTTTGAATTTTGCTATATCCTTACCTTGTCCCAAACCCCTGCATCTTTAAAAGTCTTACACCCCGTTACGTCGGGTTAGTCTTGTTGAGTACCTTTGTACTCAGGGTTTGTTAACCCTTGTTGTAGGTGAGTCCCATGCGCAGGCTTGTTTTGGTCCCTGCTGCATGTCTGTGTTCGAAGTCAACGACGATGAGGAGTAATGAATGGCCTTTGGACAAGGCACTAGTTTGTATGATAAATAAAGTTAATGTAATATTATCCTGCTACTATGGTTGTATGACACTTATGGTATTGTAAGTTTGAAAACAACTGGTTTGTAACTATGTTATCTTAAGACTTCCGCTATCTTTTACTCTGGTATTTATATTTGAATAAACTGTTGTAATTTGCAATGACTGTGATGGGGATCCTGTTTGAAAAGAGAATCGTGGATGATTCGGGTTTCCCGAGGACACCCGATAGACCTGTTGAGTTGTTGGGAACTCGTGTACGCTATCCGAGGTCTGTTAAGACAACGATAGGTGCACGTGGGCCCGATTCCTTAGGAGGTTCTGCCACAATTTGCAGGCTACTATTGCTTTGTCTACTAAGAAGCTGAGTATATGGCTATTTCTAAAGCTTGTAAAGAAGCTATTTGGTTGAGAGGTTTATACTCTGAACTTTGCGAGTTACTTCTTACATTACTATACATTGTGATAGCTAGAGTGCTATTTGTCTGACTAAAGATCAGATGTTTCAAGCCTGTTCCTGGAGCTAAGTTTGAGCTATGCTCAGGCTTAGTTGGTATTACAGTTTAAGTCCTAGTGACTTTTAGCGTTGGTGATTATTTATTATTGAAGTGAATTGATTGATGATACTTCATTTGCTACAAGATGGAATTCATCTCAAGGTGGAGTTTGTTGGAATATGATCCTAATTCTAACGTGAGTCTTGCGGGGACGGCTGGAGGTCCCGCGGTTTGGGTTATATATTTAGCGGATTTGTTTCCATATTTGACTGCAGTCAATCCATCCTATAAATGAATCTTGTAAGCCGCACAGGAAGAGCTGACGACTCATTGTATTCCCTACGTTTTGTAAACTCTCCTCATATAGTGAAGATCGCCGGTTGGCGTCCATGGGTTTTTCCCGCAAGGGTTTTCCATGTAAAAATCTGTGTCTCATGATTCGCATTATTTGCTAACAACCAATGATGAATCCCCCAAGGGTTCCAAGATTTTTTGGATCCACCGACAATTGTAGTAGATGGAGTGCTCGCAACCTCCCAAGGGTTTCGAGGTTGACCTGCCCTAAATCCCTCACGGCAATGGATAGGTATACAAGGTCTAGTAGATAAGACTCATTCATCCATGTTGGCAGTGTTGAGAACCAGCATGGCCATTCTATATCCAATCTATAGAGATGTCGAGGAGCGACCCAGGCATCCAATCCACCAAAGTCCCATTGATGATCTCCAAAGATCTTGATGTATAGATATTGGATATTTTGCAGCTTGTGTAGGCATTCCACTAGCTTCCCACTCCAGCCAATGAACAGCAAAATATGAAGCACCCTCAGTTCCATTAGCTGTCCCAACTCTTCTATAATGTCAATGGAGACGGTAATGTCTAAAGTTGAAAGCACCTCAAGGTTTGTTAGGCTCCCAATCCCATTTGGCACTCTTGTAAACTCATCAATGTACAGGCACATCAAGTTTGTGAGCGAACAACAGTTGACGGCAATATAAACATATTGTTGCCCCTCACATCCAAAGTTTGTAGGAATTCTAGGTTTCCTATTTCTTCAGGAAGCTGAGCAATGTGTGTGGCACATAGTCCTAGGTACCTCAAGTGAAATAAATTCTCAAGGTACTCGAGGCTATAACCGCTTGAAAGAACACAATCTTGTAAATTCAGGACACGTAAAACTTTGAATTTTGTAAGGACCGGCAGTACAAAAAATGCAGACAGAAAGACAATAGCTGACCTTACATGTTGCAAGCTTGTAGTATGTAGAGGCATAGCATTATCATCCTTACTGTAACAACCCAAAAATCCACACACTAAAAATACCAACTACAAAATTTTTCTTAGAACTCCCATGTGATGATGAGTGTCATGTATAGTAACCCAACATAAGAGATGCATTAGGTTTAACCCCAACCCAAGTTAACACATAAGCATGGCATGTCATTTGTTAATTGTGTTTATTTAAATGATAACAAATAAAGTATTGCATACATTGTTAAATCAAATTATGATCTAGAATTCTATTTGCTTTATGTTATGCTTATCAACTCCTTTGAAGTAATAAACCATGAAGCAACTAATTAATCAAAGCAAGGAATAAAAGATTAAAAAGAGAATTATTTCTATTTTTGTATAACAAAACTACACCTATTTTTGTTATACAAAATAGCTAAATAAAATCTCCTAAAACTCCAATAAATTAGGTGCACCAAGTTGGAATTCAAGTTCTAGAACCAAATTCGAATTCAAACAAAAGAGAAGAAATGAAAAACAAAATAGAAAAAGAAGAGAAAGGATGTAGGCCTCGCAAGCCGCCTCGGCCTGCTCGGCCCACGCCAGCCAGCCAGCCCAACCGGCCTGCCAACCCTTTCCCGTCGTCCCAGCGCGCGCGCGGCCCACGAGCCGGCCCAGCGCGATGCCCACGCCCGCGCACCCGTCTGCCTCGCTCGCAGCCACTGCCCGCTGGACCCCGCATGTCAGCCACCCCCGTCTACAGTGTCGTCTTCCTCACCCACGCCTCAACCGCCAACGCGATCGGCGCGCAACAGCGGTGGCAGGGGCGGGCCAGGGGGTCACGCCTGGGGCATGGCCTTGTCCCCTTGGCACCGCGCCCACGCAACCACACACGGCCGTTGGATGGGATGCACGCCTCCGATCCTCCTCAATCTCCAGCCGTCGAATGTCGGGTTCCATGGCCGAGCTTGGCTATAAGAGCCCCGGTCCCGGTTGCCCTAGTGCTCGTCCCATCGCCCCGCTGCCACTTGGTGGCCAACCACTTCACACCGAGAGTAAAAGGCTGAGGAGGAGTTTGAGAGAGGAGAACAGAGCCACTGCCAGGAGGAGGACCGGGAGCACGCCGGAGTTCGGAGCACCGCCGCGGATCAAGCTGGAGTGGACGACACTGCACGGCACTGCTTCTGGAGCTACACGGCCGCAACTCGTCACTGCACCACCATCCTCTCTTCCACAGCACCCACGGTGAGCCCCCGATTCTTCCCCTGCTCGCCGCCGGACCTTGCTACTTCGGCCATGGCGCTCCATACCATGAGCGCGTAGGCCAAGGCCATCCCCGGTCTCTAGGCACACAAGCACAGCACACTCACGCGCACGTCGCGACCACCCCCGAGCCCTTGGACGTTGTAGACCTCTCCAAGTCCCACGGACGCCGTAGCCGAGCACGCATGCCACGCTCACGACGCCGCCGCCATGGCGTAGCCACCACCGGAGCACCATACCACCTCCGAGCACCCGACCACCTCCGAGCACCAGACCACCAGTCCGAGCACCAGACCACCGGTCCGAGCACTCGACCACCGGTCCGAGCACCAGACCACCGGCCAGAGCACCGACCACCATGGCCAGTACTGCTGGGAGCGCCTGGCGCCTCCTTGACTCGCCCGTCCTGTTCGCTAAAGCCACGCGTAACTCACGTGCACACCGTGACCACCCCGCTGGAGCCCCGTAGTGACCCGCGCGCCTCGCCGCCGTCACCATGTTGCCGTGGCCGCCGGGAAGACCCTACTGGCCACCTAGAAACCGGAAGTCCTGCCCTGAGCTCTAGACGCCCTTGCCGTGTCCATACGGATCCGTAGGAGCCTACACTCCCCACTGTGACGCCCCTCCGAGGCCATAGCCCCCACACCGACGCCACCGACGTGATCGGAAGACCGCCGCCATGGCCAAAGCCACCGGAGGCCCTAGAGGACCCCTCGACCTGCCCAACATGCCCGCTGGAGCAGTGTGACACCCACGCGCACCACAGAACTGGCCAATGCCGCTGCACCTGCGCCATTCCCGCACGTCGGTTGTGCTCGAGCCGCCGTTCGCCGTGACCAGTGACTTAGGAGGCACCATCCGTCGCCCTGACCCCACCGTTGCAGTCGCCATGGCGCGGGGAGGCTTTTCCCCATGTCAATTGGATGCCTGAGCCGTTGCGGGAGCTCGCCGGTGAGCACGTCGTCGGTGGGAGCGCGCCGTGGAAGAAACAGAGGAGAAGGGGCAAGTTGAGCAGCGCAGCCCTACACCCGGTGCACATGAGCTGAGCCGAGGGGAAATGACGATGGACTCGGACCACCATAGACCCTGCCTTAGGTCCATGGACCGTGAACTTGGGTCCACCGTGAGCCGCGCTCACGCCCACAGCCAGGAAACGAAGCCCAGTAAGAGCCCAACTGCGCCACATGGCAGCGCCACAGCACGCCACATGTCTGGGTCAGCCCGGCCCAGACCGGTCCAAATCCAGCCCTGTCCAGGCAAGTTTGAACCCAGCCCGTATTGACCGTTGACTTGGCCCCACACGTCAGACGCTGACGTCTTGCTGACGTCAGCTGGACCCCACCTGTCAGCTCAGAACAGAGACGATGACGTCATGATGACGTCAGATGTCAGCATGCCACATAGACCAGTCACTCCATGCCACGTGTCAGCCCCGAATTAATTCAGCCTTTTCCATTTTCAGAAATGAATTAAACTTCGGAAATTCATAACTAATTCATACGACCTCAGAAAAATACGAAACCAGGACCAAAATTCATCTAAAATCGAGCTCTATGCAATGAACCCATGTTTGAGTGCATTTGGCACTTTTGAATTTTCATTGCTTCTTTATGCTACTCTATAGACGTCGCTAACGCGACTATAATGCGAACGTTGCAGACTCGGAGGAGAACCAGACAGACGAGGACCATGAGTACCGTGAGGAGAACGGAGACGACTACACTAAAGGTGCCACATCCCACCCAATCTCATAGCACCTATTACGCATGGCTAACATAGAACTGCTAACGCTTTACTTTACTGCTACAGTCATACTATGATAGGACTTGCATGGTAGTATGCTTACTTGAAGGCCTTTACCTTGACGCAACCTTACCCCCGCATACCCTGCTATTAGGCTAGACACACGCTTACTGCTATATATTTCATTACTTATACTTCTACTACGCTTATACTACATGCGTGGTGGAAACTGGTGTTACCTGGCCTATGGGAAGAGTGCTGCGTGTGTGACTTGGGTGTGTGGAGGGTGAGGGTTGTGTCGACCAAGTTGGAGTACACGACGACAGCACAGGGCAAGTCTTGCTATGGGATGCTACCTGGCACCCCCGAAATGGATACTGTGTTGGGTAAATGGTATATGAGGTGGACACAGGTGTGAACTCGTGATGGGAGGAGCCCGGGATGGAGGTCTTTGTGGTGGCGATAAATGGAAACCCCGATGGAGACATTCTCGCTTGGTCATCCCTAAGGACTTACTAGTACTCAGATTCACCGAAGCCTTACGTACCACTCGCCCTATATGGTGCGGGACGGTGGACTACTTGGTAGGATATTGCCACTCTCGCTAGGTTGATAGCGACGGTGTAAGGAGGTGCAGGCGCGAGGATCCCCCCCCCTTCCGAGACTTAATGGAGACCTTGTGGACCTGGCTCATGACTCATAGTTTTAGCCACCCCAGACTTGACTTGGGGTGAACCAGGGCTGAATGGTAGGGTGGCATTATCCTAGGCTAGCAAGCGGCTGGAATCAGCCTAGTTGACGACGGTCAGTGACGAAGGCGGATCTTGTGGTTATGTAAAACGTCTGCAGAGTGTATGGTTGATCGATTGATACATGTGCCGACTTGTCGGCTATGGACCTTTCCTGGGTTTTGCTTAAACTAGATAATGAGATGAGTCCTTCTCTTCTCCCCCCGTGAGAGAGAGTCGGTCGTAGCCAGGGGCTACGGGCCTTGAGACAGTGCCGAGAGGGAGTTGGCCTGTTGACTGAGCGATGGTATGGTTATGGTGATGATACGGAGATGGTGGTATATTGATCCCAGGATCGAAACCTGGCTCGGAAAAGGGAATGGAGTGGAATGTGTGTGGGAATGGTGTTAAAAACTTGACAAACTATTATTATTTACTTGATATGCTAATGCATAGGAAACCCTAGCTTTATAGGTTCCTTTGACTATGTCCAACTTGCATCCAATTTCTACAAAGCAATGCTCATAGGGATGGGAGTGGCCAGTACAAATCATACTGATAAATTTTGGCACACAGGTTCTGCTGAGGAGTATAGCTCCGAGGAGTTTGACGGATGAGGGGTTCGTGCCTACGCTCGAGTTTGGCGATCTTATCTTCAAGCTGTTCTGAATGAATGCTACTTTTGATTCCGCCAATGCGGCGATGTAATAAATTATGTAATTCCGCACTATTTGTACTCTGATATTATCATTGTATGGATGTGATATTCGACTGAAATTTGGGTAATATGATCTACAACGGTCTTATTACACTTCGACGCTGTGGATTTCCCTTCGCGGAAATCGGGGTCGCTTCAGTTGGTATCAGAGCCATACTTGACCATAGGATGAAACCCTTAGAAATGGACGATAGAATAGGCGTGAACAGCCATTCTTTCAGTTATATACCGACCCTGCATTTACTTTTATGCAAGGCTTATCTATTATTGACCTGC